AAAAGAAAAGAAGTGGAAACTAAATCAGTGTGTATTTCTTATGTAATTGTTTATTATAGTTTGGGAAACATAGTTTAGCATATTATTATAGTGATCATGGTAAAATGAGTGTGAAATATGTGTGTGCATATGTCTAGAGAACTATGTGTACAGTTAGATATGTATATTTATGTATAATTGTATCCAAGTATATTACAGCAACAGATTATTGTTTTCTATTAGATAATAGTCTCTATCTAATGCATTTTAGAGTAGAATAAATGAAAAAACAATAGTTCGCAGCTTCTTTCTTTCAGCAGGGTCTATGTTGTCTTGGCTAGTTTATGTCCTGCTGCCTCGGCTTTCTAAATAACTGGGATTTTAGGCCCAGCCAGTGCCACTGTCCTGGCAGCATCAACAGTTTTCAAATGCAAATTAGGGGGGCCAGGGAGATGGCTCAGTAGAATAAGTGCTTCCCTGGCAAGCACAAGGGCCTGAGTTCAACCCCAGGTTCTGCCAAAAAAATAAATAAATAATTTTCCTTTCAGATCCCCCAGTCGCTGACATTCAGTTATAAAGAGACAAACATGAACAAAAACAAGCAAAAAACAAAAAACAATTTGGGGCCAGGGGGATGGCTCAGTAGAATAAGCACGGGTCTGAGTTCAATCCCTGGTTCTGCCAGGAAAAAAAAAAAATCGCAAATTAGGCCTCAACCAGAAATTCTAGGGGAGGAGCTTTCAATCTTTTGTTTAGGTTCCCCAGGTAGTTCTAAAATCAGTTAAAAGTTTTACCACCAGCAGTAGAGAAAGTTTCAGAGACTATTTTTGCAGTACTGGGGATTGAACTCAGGACCCTGAGCTTGCCAGGCAAGCACTTATTCTACTGAGCTATCTCCCTGGCCCCCAGAGACTTTTTAAAAAGGTCGTTAGGATTAGGTTTCCTGCAATGGAAGTCTGAGTACCTTAGGGTTTTTAACATTTCTGAAATCCATCATTAGGAGATACTTGCTACATTGGATTTTAAAACTTGTATTTCAGTATTTATAATCATTTTTGTGGGATGCATACAATCTTTTAAAGTAAAGGTTAACAAAATATTTTTATAGTAAAGGATGTGTGTGGGCTGGGGAGATAGCTCAGCAGCGTAAGTGCCTGCTTGGCAAGTGTAAGGTCCTGAGTTCCAACCCCAGGGCCTAAATAAATAAATAAAATGTGTGTGTGTGTGTGTGTGTGTGTGTGTGTACCTATAACATGTTTTTAAAAATTAATGAAGTTTTTTTCTTTTTAGGTTGGTGTTGGAAACATTTCTATTTGCAGTTATTTTGTCTACTTTTACTACTGTACCTTGTTTATGTTTGTTAGGACCAAATCTCAAAGCATGGCTAAGAGTTTTCAGTAAAAATGGGTAAGTTTTAATTTTTATATTTTGATATTGGTCATTCACGTAGTTCTCAGAGATGTCAGAAGGGGTCAGCGTTTGTGAGGAGTGGAGACCAGGAATGGACAGGTTGGGAGGGACTGAAACAGACAAAGTGCAGGCCGCTCCCTCCATGTTAGCAAAATTAGCCCTCCTCTTTGCTATAATAGAATTCTGTTTAGCCTTTTATTTGGAAGAGAAAAGTTTCGGCTACGAAAATAAAGCTTTGAAAACTACTGGGATAATTTGGTAACACGTTAAAGTGCTACAAATAGAATTGCTTCCATCCATTTCATAATGTAGAAATGGGGTCCATAATCTAAGATTATTGTATGCAACAGTAATTTATTTTTTTT